AAAAATTGGTTCCAAAAAGATAAAAATTCATCACTAATATCTAATTTTCCTTGCTAAAAATATAATAATGACATTTTTCTTAACAAAAATATTTGGTCCCTAAAAAATAATTTTGTACCTAAATTTTGGTCCCTAAAACCTTATTTTTTGTAGTGAGTTACCAATGCTGTTGTTGCCGTTATAAATCCTTTTACATATGCATATATATATATATATACATGCACAATTTGTATAATTTTTTATTGGACAAATTACAATGGTAGTCTTTGTATTATGGTCATTATGTTATTTTAATCCATGTAATTTCATTTAGCTCCATTTTGATTATGAATTTATGATTTTGTCTCAATTTGGTCTAATTAATTACAATTCTTAGCATTTTTTTATGAAAAATATGCACAAAAAAAAAAAAAGCCATATGTCATATTTTTAAGGGTAAAATTTTAAATTTACTCAACTCAGTGAGTTAACCTAGGCCAATTTAGTGATAATTTTTCTTAACGATATTAATAATTAAACCAAATTGATACAAAATCTAAAATTAGGAGTTAAAATTGAACCAATTGCAAATATAGGGATCAAAATGATATAAGAAATAAATTATAGAAACTACTGGTATAATGTGATGACCAGTTCGAAAGCCGTCTTGTTTCTTTTGAGTTATGTTTGGTAAGTGTTGTTAAAAATTCTTTTTTCTTAATACTTTTGGTCGCATTGTTTTGTTTCTGAGTTTTCACTTGTTTCGGAGGGTGTGAGGTTGGGTCCGGAGTGTCTAGCCTTGAGCCGGGGTTTTTTCGAGCTAAGAGGCCAAAGCCACACGTGTGGGGCCTTGGGCCACACGTGCGGGGCCTTGGGCCACACGTGTGGGGGATGAGGCCGCACGTGAGGGAAGCTGGGCAGAGAGGCCGTGTGCACACTTCCTAAAAGATAGGTGCAGAAGTGGTGGTGCGGGGGAAACCGCACGTGCAGGGGTGAGGGCGGCACGTGCGGGAGAGGGTGCCGTACGTGCAGCCAGGCACTTGTTTTGTCTCATTTTTCTTGCATTTCAGCTATGTATTGCACTTTTGCCTCTTTTTATCTCATTGCTGAATATATCACTCTCTCTCTCTACAATATTTCCTCTCTTTTTCTCTCATCTCTCTCTACTCAAACCCTCAAAACTTTACATTTCTTTTGATCCCATGAAATCCGTTGAGTTTTGGATACTAGTTCCTTATACCAAAATGATGAGGGCTTCGTCTTGACCGGTGGAGATCGATTTCTGGCGAAGTTGATTTTCGGGATTTTTCTGCTCTTCTCTCTTGAGGTAGGGATTTCTTTGATCTTTTTTAATACCTCCATTATAGATAGACATGTGGTATGTTTTTATTGCATAAAAACCATGTTGTTATGGATTTCTGTTGAAAATCATGATAGGGGATCTAAGGTTGAATGTTGAGCTTGAGATTTTGTGGAATAAGTGGTTGTTGAGTTAATTTGGGGGTGTGATTTAACATATTCATGATTAAAAAGTGTTTAAGCCCTAATGTTTGCAATAATGCCTACTAGATAAAAGGGGTTAAGATTGTAGAATAATTATGTTATGAATTTAAGAAATGTAATTAATGAATTGATAATTGATTTAAGATTAGTTTGGGCCTCATGATTGGAGCATTAACTTGTGTTGGATTGACTAGGTTTAAATATAATGAATTGATAAATTGTTAATGGTCAAAAAGGGGATTTAACCGTGAGATTAGAATATCATTGGGTTGCACTACCGTTATACGAAATTGAGTAAATATTAACCTTGTTAGCCATGATTGAAATGCCTTACCTAAAATGAAGGAAATTGAGTTGATCATACTTTTCTTGTGAATGAAATAAATGGGTTGAGGCAAAGGGTGGAGAATATTAATGTGGAAGAACAAGATAATTGATCTTGAAATGGAAGAATGAAATGCTAACGTTGTGTGAGTTTCGAAAATTAACTTGAGATTGAATCACAAATATTTTATTTCTTCATTGTCGTAATTGGATCTAAAGTTTCATGAGAGTTGGATTATTGATAATGTGTAAGTCGAATACTTTTTGCTTAGAGGTTTTGTCCTTGGTCATCGGTGGAGGATGACATTGTTGTGTTGATTAGTTGTGCGTATGCATTACACTTGTTGGTTGTACCTTATCATGTTGTGATGGTTGATAATGTGTGTTGCGCTGAGAATCAAAGGTACCATTACCTTCCAGCTAGCGCCTAGAGAATTAGCTGCACTGAGAATCAGAGGTACCATTCCCTTCCAGCTAGCGCCTGGAGAATTGGCAGAGGTACCATTCCCTTCCAGCTGGTGTCTGGTAAATTGGCATGTTATTGTGGAGAGATGTATTATTGGCTTACCATGCTTCAGGCAGGTAGAGCAGAGATTATTTATCATTGTTGTTTCAGTTTGACTGTGTATGTCATGTGTTATGACGATTATGATTTTGTAAGGTTGAATTGTCTTATATGTGAGTAGATGTGTTCATGAATATTTGGACGTGCTAGAGAGTGGTTAAGGGAGTTTCCTACCATGAATTATTTTGTTAAAGGTATCTCGTTGAATTTCGAGTTTAAGATTGAAAATGTGATGAATGGGTGGAGACGGATTTTGTTGTATATTGGGTATGAATAATGTGAAGAAATCAGACTTGGTGAACGTGCTTTTCAAAAGAAATAAAATGGATATTATGTGGTGTTTGTCACAAATGGAAAATATGGTTATTGTGTAATAATGGTTTTAATGGGAAATGGGTAGTAAAAACGAACCTTCGTGTTGTTCAATAAACTGAATGTCTTTGAGAAAAGTATTTATGCAAATATACCTTGGTTATAAAATGTCACATTATTTATACGGTATGAGATAAGCATTCATGATCATAGCTATCTGTAAGTCGTTATTGTTGAGGATCATGTTGAGATCCCTACTGGACTTTATGTTCATCCCACGTTGTTAATTTTTTTTCAGGTGTATATCAAGATGTGCTACAAGATCACGGATCTTTCTTATTTGTTGGCTACGAGGCCTTTTTATGTGTAGGTAGAATCCCATTGGTATAAAGGGTTAAACCCTTCCTCTTGATTTAAATGATGTAAGCTTATGGGTAATTTATTTAGATATGAATTCATGTTGCATTTATTTTATATTTGAATGAGAGGATTTATGCTTATGTATTCCTTTTGTATATACTATATATAATGAGCTTCTGTACGCTAACTCTGAAATTGAATTATAACAATGGCTTGGTAATGGAAATCCGTGTAATAAAAGGTGGGGCGTGACATATAATTTGTCCTTCCTAATTTTTATTTTTTTTTTCTAACCTAAATGATTTCCAAATGCATAAGTTTATTCAATTGTTTTGTTGTGTGATGGGTATTCTAAGCAAAGTCACCTACTTATCACCATGCATTGAGATTCAGCCTAGCGTCGTTTTAATTTGTGAGAAAAAAAGAAAAAAGAGTTTAGGTTTAGGTGTGATGTGGGTTCGAACGCCATTCCCCCCATCTTGCTCTTATAAAAAAATAATAATAATAATAATAAATAAAATAAATGTTCTAGAAACATGGCAATGGTCAAAACAAAAAACTGTTGGAGTAAAGAAGACAGAATAACTCCTACATTACAAAGTGAGGGCCTCATGAGCAAGAAGTTACATTGTAAGAATCGATTAACAATTCTTTTATTTGCACATCAATAAATTCTTTTAAGAAAGAAGAAGAAGAAAGAATCGAAAGCTAGAGCTCTAGTTGCACTCTAGGTTGAGTAATACTATACAAAATAACAAATCTTATAAAAAAATTTATTCACTGATGTGGCACTTGTCATATTATTGATAATGATCCCGTTTTAGTTTCTAAAATTCTATTATTACATGGCACATTAATTAGTATGTGACTAATTTTATAATTTTTTTTTGCAAATTACACAAGAAAATACAAGAAAATTTGAATGTGTCTACATAAGAAGCTATTTATACCTAAAATTTCAAAAAAAAAATTATTCTATTTCTTGCGAAATTTTTATCTTAATCAAATGTTTGCAAAAAAATATATTTTTCCTTTTCTTTCACTTCAATGTCTATCAGTTTTATTTTCCATTAAAGTTATTTTCTAATCAAACAGAGCCTAAATACATGCAGCTATTGATTTGTTGAAATATGTAAAGGTGGATGCAATAGTTGGTCCACAAAAATCAGCACAAGCCAATTTTGTGATGGGTCTAGGAGATAGAGCTCATGTGCCACTCATTTCTTTCTCTACAACAAGTCCTTCTGTGCTTTCCCGAACTCGTCACTTTGTCCAAATAGCTCTTAGCGACGACCCTCAAGTTGGCACCATTACTGCCATTGTTGAGTCCTTCCTATGGAGCAGTGGTGACTCCAAGAATTATCACTACAAAAAAATGCATCTTTGGCGACCAAAATTGGTGACTAAAAAAAATTTAGTCGCCAAAAGTTATGGAATTGGCGACTAACATTTTTCTTAGTCGCCAAAATTAAAATATTTAACTACTAATTTTTTTAGTCGGGGTATATTCATTATTGGCAACTAAAAAAAAATTTAGTCGCTAAAAATGCCAAAATTGGCGACAAAAAAAAACTTAGTCACTGTATATTGACTTTTGGCTACTAAAATATTTAGTCACTGAATGGGAAATAAAAAAATTATTTTTTCTCTTTGGCGACTAAAGTTTTAGTCACCAAAATGTTACTTTTAGTGACAAAAAAAAAATAGTCGCCGTATATTGACTTTTGGCTACTAAAATATTTAGTCGCCGAATAGAAAATAAAAAAAATTATTTTTCCTCTTTGGCGACTAAACTTTTAGTTGCCAAAAACTTACTTTCAGTGACAAAAAAATAATTCAGTCGGTGAATATTATTTTTTGGTGATCAAAATATTTTCAGTCGCCAAAACTGCTACAATTGGCGACAAAAATTTTGTTTGGTCGGCATTGATAACAGATTTTTTTTGGGGGAAAGTTTTTCAAATTTGGAGGCAATTCATTTTGACTTTTTCTTTTCATACATATTTGTTTTTATCAATCCACCCAAACCAAAGCCAGAAGACTCTTGACTTTTGCTCTCCCTCTCTCTCAGGGACGACTCACCATCACTTTAGGCCCCATCGCTCACCATTGATCTTCCACCATCGTTCACTGTCAATCTTCCATCGTCGCACACCGCCACCGCCGTTACTCGCCTCGCAGCTCCTCGCATTGCATTGCTTCGACATTGAGGTTTTTATCTTCCTCTCTCTATTTCTCTTACTCCTCTATCTCTCTCCCTCTTGGTTCTATTTTTATGTCTCTCTTTCTCTATTTCCCCATTTCACTCTACATCTAGGGTTTTTTTTTTATGGTATAGGGTTTTGATTTATGTGAAATCAATGAACCAATGATTGAAGGAACATGTAATTTCTTAGGGTAATTGTTGTTTTGATTTATGTAATTTCTTAGTGTATGTATTACTATTGTTTTGTCTATGCTTGTAATTGTTGTTGTTTTTCACCCTCTTGCTCACCATGTACCTGAAAAAATGTTCAAACGAAATTTGTCCATGCTTGTATTTGTTGTTGTCTTCTGACCCTTTTGCTCACCATGTGTTTGACGAAATGTTCAAACGAAACTGGACAATGCTCACGTGTTTGATATGTGAAGCAATCCAACATTGGAGGTTGAAGCTGAAGGAATTTTAATTAGGATGCTCTTCTTTCTCTCTTCAATCCATAGGAGAGCAGACAACATGAATCCTTACATATCAAATGTTTGCAAATAAAAGAGACAACAAGCGGCATCTTCTCTTCTTAATTCTTGCATAGTTTCTTTTTTATATTTGTCTTTTTTTTGCATTGGTGGTGTTGTGTTGTAAGCCTTATTTTACTAATGCCCAATGCAAATTTTCTCCAATTTATTATATCCATTTAGCTTATAAAATGTTACAATTAAAATTTGTATAGACTTTTCATTTAATACATCGGATGCCAAAATTTGGCGAGGGGAGACTTGGATCCTTACTTTTTGGGATATGTATAACATTGTTTATGTCAAGTTTGCATTATCTAACAACCTATTGCTCAATGTTATGGTGGTCCATTAATCTTAAGAGAATGAGTTAATGTAATGGCATTTTAGACATTAGCTCCTCACAGTTAAGCAACTATACCTATTGCACATTTAAATTTGCATTCTTCGGTTACCATGATTAAAATGTTAAACGTATAGAATCCTGTGTTGTACATAGTGATTCGATTGACGATGGAAAAAACTGAATACTTCATTTAGTTTTTCAATTTAATGACAGGAAAATAAATTGATCAAATTCTGCTGATTCTAACCAATAATGATCATTTATCAAAGAATAACTATAATTTAAAAATGATTGAACAATTGGAAGAAATCAGTCCCAAACAAACAGGACACAAAACACTTACATGGTTGTCTTATAGTAGAATAATTTTTAACTACAGATCTTTCATTGATTACGTGTACTGATGTTTTGCTTTTGTTTTTGTTTTTGTTTTATGTGGTGTGCTTTGGCATCCCTGAATTTCTGTTTGTCAAAAATAGATATGAATCACGTTGTCAAAAATAGATACACATATTAGTGAAACTTCTTCAAAGTTTTAGTAGTGCTTAGAAGTTAGATGTTTCTGCATTTCTTGAAATATAGACAAGTAGTTAATGCAAAGTCAATAGTTGGGAAAAAAAAATCTCAATTCTTCTTTTTAATATATGTTGCATCCACTGGTGGTTTTCGTAAGAACATAGCTTTTCCAATGTTGTACTTTTCCAAAATTCAACTAGACAAAGTCATTCTCAGAGTAATTGTGATTTTTTGTGTGAATCCTTGCTCACCATTTCCTTCAATCTTAGCATAATTTTGTTAGATCATAATAAAGAAGTAAAAAAGTTAATGGTGATCCTTCATTGTCCTTCTCTAGATTTTTTTTTTGGGGGGTAAATAACCAAAAAAGGAAAAACTACAACCAACTTTTTCCCCCCTGATTATTTTGGTAATTATTAGACTTCATCTTAACAAAATGTTAGAAATTGATTTTCTATTTGGTTCAAATTTAATAGTGTAGGTCTTTAGTTCATGACCATGTACCATTTTTTAGGTCGTTGTTTCTTGCACTTTCCTTGTATACATTCAATAGCTAATGCAGGTCGTCACAAAATTCACTAATTGGCCATCGTTTTTACTTGTACGGCTTAGTTGAGTCATGTTGTTCACATTTGCATATAGGAACTATTTCACCATTCATTCACCAACACCCTCGAATGGCTAAAAAACTATAAAGAAACAGAGGATATATTTAAAATGTATGATCATTGTTATTATTTTCGGTGTAATTGTTCAACAATATGATTTTATTTTGCATTACATGTACCTGCCAACCATGATATGTTTGATATAGAATCCGATAATCCTTTTTATTATATAAACTAAGTTCTACTATATGATTGCTGTAAGTTATTTGAACTTTTGAGACATTACTTCTTGCAACATGTAGGATGTAGATACACCATAGTGATAGCATATTGCAATTTGTTTTTTTTTTTTTTTCACAAGGCAGAACCAAGTGACAGAAAGATTGGAAAACTGTGTGAATATGCTGCAAAAAATCCTTTATGTATATCCAAGGTACTATCTGATTCTTTTGGAGATTCTCATAATAACAAGTTTCCTTCAGTCATTCTATGTTAATTTGCAATTTGTTTTTTTTTTTTTCACAAGAAGCAGAACCAAGTGACAGAAAGATTGGAAAACTGTGTGAATATGCTGCAAAAAATCCTTTATGTATATCCAAGGTACTATCTGATTCTTTTGGAGATTCTCATAATAGCAAGTTTCCTTCAGTCATTCTATGTTAATTTTTTTATGGTAAACCCAATGAAACATATAAGTAATGTACAAAGACACAATTTGAATTATTGTTATTGGCTTGTTTTCTATCGAAGTTCTCTTCACACAACGCTATGCTATGCCATGCGTTATTGTATATGATGAATTTGATTATGTGGTGATATATGAACACTTGGCCTATGTTGACTCAATTCATACCATTTATTCAATAAATCAACCTTATTTTCACTCAGTTTGACCTTTAGTCACCCAAACTTGAGCTGGGTTCTTTGTATGTGTCTCTTGACAAAAGAAAGAAAGTGTTTTTGACTCAATTCAGACCATATTTTAAATAAAGCTTTGGAAATTGATATGGAGACTCAAACTTTAGCTAGGCTATCTCTGTTTCTTCACTATGTCCAATATTTTAATGTGATCACACAGCTTAGCTTTATATGGATTGGTCTATGTAAATTGCAACCTTAACTGACAAAAATTAGGAATTGTTTTAATATCGCTTTATGAGTCCAATAAACTTGAGCTTACCCACAAAAGGAAATCATGAGAAAAGGCGGTTGCTTGGCAGCCTAACTGGGTGTTTTGAGCCTCTTGACTAAACAAATTTGTTTCAACAAAACAATTTAGTTTGTAGCCAGAATCGCTAGATTATAGGATTCTCAATATCAGTCTCGCTAAGGACCTTAAACAAGAATTGAGTAGGTTCTCATTTTTGGTGTCTATGATATGTGGCTTTATTTTTTTTTAGCTAATTTATGTACAAGGAGGAGAGGGAAAACTTGGCATGGTAGAACCAAGAGCAATGAGGAATAGTCCAAGCATAATGCTGATGATGAATAGTCTAAACACAATGCTTGAAATATGACTTATATTGTGTTCCATGAATTGTTCTCTTGCTTCTCTCCTATGGCAAGCAGGCTATAATCCTATAATTCATACTTTTGCCTTCGTGATGGAGAATGTGGAGGCAAATAATCACCCCTGAGATATAGTTAACTAATTCAACTACTTGGCCTATGCAGGAACACTTCTGATGTGTTTTGGGAAGCAATTTCTAACCATCAAGTTCTCTCACTGTACTAGGGCCTTGGGACAAAGAACCTGCAGTCTGTTATTTTTTTGTTTATCTACTTCTATGGATACAGCTTCTTTAAGAAGCTATACTTAAAGAGAAGTGGATCAAAATCTATTGGAACAAAAGCTAATTTGGTTCTTACTGCTACTGTTGGGGCTTGTACGGTTGTGGTGACGAAGGTGAGGTTATATTTTAGCTTGTTATATTACTGATCAGTAATAAATTTTCTTCCTGTTAATTACAATCAAACAACCATACTGGGTCTTTCACGTCACATTGATTTTTGCTGATCACTTAATCTATAACTTAAGTTCATGAGATCCTTGTTTGATTAAAGTATAATAATCACTTTGTCTAGGCTAAATTGTTCATGTGGGGAGTCATAATGAATATTTAATAGAACAGGGAATCATAACAAAAATAATGATGATGAAAATTGATTGGATATTGTTTAATGACTTCTAATTATAATTTAAAGTTAATCTTAAATTTGAATATATAATTGTAATGATGAAGTCTCTTTGAATGCTCAGAAGAATGAAGTATAGCATTTTTTGTTAGACATCCTAATTTCTGATATTGTTGTTCAGCCTTTGGATACAGCATCATCAAGGATGCAAACAAGTGAAATTGGAAAATCTAACGGACTCTGGAAAACCCTTTCAGAAAACACTTGAAGTGAGACATTTGATGGTCTAGGCATTTCTCTTCTTCTGACAACAAATCCATCTATCCAGGTACTTCATTGTTTCATTTTACACTCTCCTACATGGTTTGCCTGCCTGTAAAAACTCTTGATTCACCAATTGAAAGAAAATAGAAAGCTCAAAGATTTGTGCTACTTTTGAAAAGTTCATTTTTTTTTAAAAAAAAAATTTAATTTGAAACACCAAATACCAAGTAAGCATTGTCAAATAGTGGCCCGACACTACTGAATAATATTATTATATTCTAAATTATAGGCACGCACAATGTGTTAAATTAATTTTAATAATGAAAACAAGCTATTGTATGAGATGCTATAATAAACGTAACTTTTTTTTGTTGTTAAACTTATGTTATAAGATGTGTACTGTATGCATGTTATGATCAAACCATCAACATTAGTGTGTTGTTATGTAACGTTTGGACAAGATCGCATTGAAAAAAAGGCTATTGTTGTAATATCTATTCAACATTTTGCTATATATGTATGTGCTTTGTCTATTGTCATTGTTAATAGAATGATCTTAGGACTAAAGTTTTTGGAATATGTGCAGACTGCAGAGGAGGCTATGACATCGATTGAATCAACATTTTGCTTTCGATTGACAACCTCGTCATGCCATTGTTCAAATTGTTTGTTAGGCTCTAATTTATTTAGCCATGAATGATATTATGTTTCTTTTTTTCTTGTTATTTTTATTTCAATTGATAGATTTAGTTTTCTTTTTCTTTCTATTTTCCCAATTATACCTTTTAGTTGCTGCCTTAAAAGGATAATAAATTGGATTTGTGTAGTCAAAAAAGGGCATTTCGGGGGCAAAAATTCAAAACAGCACCCGAACCACCATGTGACTCTCACAGAGAGCTTCCCCATGACAAATAGGATTTGTGACAATTGACGAAATGTAATTCGGACCCGTAAGTAGGGAGTTAGAGCCGAATACGCACTAAAATTAGTCGAAAAAGGGCGTTCCAAGAGTGAAAATTTGAAACAGCCCCCGAACCACCATGTGGCTCTCACGTACAGCTTCCCTTTGACAAACAGGACCTGTGACAACTGACGGAATGTAATTCGGACCTGTAGGTTGGAAGTTAGAGCCGAATATGCGTTAAACTTAGTCGAATACGCCCGTTTCGGGGGCAAAAAATCAAAACAGCCCCCGAACGACCGTGTGGCTCACACGGATAGCTTCTCCATGACAAATAGGACTTGTGACAACTGACATAACGTAATTCGGACCCGTAGGTACAGAGTTACAGCCGAATACGTCCAAAACTTAGTCGAAAAAGAGTGTTTCGGGGGCAAAAATTCAAAACAGCCCCTAAACCGCCGTGTGGCCAACACGAACAGCTTCCCCATGCCAAATATGACTTGTGACAACTGACGGAATGTTATTCGGACCCATAGGTTGGGATTTAGAGCCGAATACGCCCAAAAGTTATTGTCAGTCGTGTTAATCAAAAATTTAAATGACATATATACAAAAAAAATTACATTAATTATATATGTCACCTATTTACAAAAAATCAACAAATTAATTTAAATTCTCAAATTATAAACAAATGGTATGTCAATATATTGATACTATTTTTTAAACAAAAAGACATGTTAATACATGAGTTTTTACAATTAACCACGACAAGATTTCATATTTTGAAATCGTTGCATAATAAGCTCATTATCAACACTATCAAATACATCCTTCTCAATATATATAACCAAACAATCATTCATCTATTTATCTCCCAAAACAAGACTACAAAATAACACTTTTTTACATATAAAATATTTAAACATAAAGTAGACATCATTAAAAAAAATCAAAAAGTAAAAAAATTTCATTGGAGGGTTCAAAAAGTAGTGGGTGTGAAAAGTGTGGGTTCAAAATTATAATTTAGTGGGTTTAGTTGTTGACTTTTGTTATAAATTCTAATATCAATATAATAAATAAATAAATAAATAATCATTGAGGGGTTCAGGTGGCACCCTTAAGCAAAGGGTAGTGTCACCCCCACTGTGGAGGGAAGTTGTCATCATAAACGAGGACACTAATTATGGAAATGGAGTAATTCCATATATGTTGAATGCATTAAAAGATATCACACGAATTTCCTATAAAAGCATCATTCCTCTTTCAGCGAGCAATGATTTTATACTCAAAAAGTTGGACAAGATGATGACAATGCAAACGAGAGTATTTGTGGTGCACATGACACACTTTCTTAGCACTCACCTACTCCTGAAAGCCAAGGAAACAAGAATGTTGAGCGAGGGCTACGTGTGGATTATCACTGATGGGTTGATGGACCTACTCTCACTGCAGGAAATTCAACTTTTAGTGGCGTTTAAAAAATGCCGCTAAAAGTGCCAAAACGTCGCCAATTCTTTTTGTGACGCCTAGCACCAAACGCCGAGGATGCGGCCGTCGCTATAGCTTTATGGCGTTTTAAAAATGTTATGATATTAACGTCGCCAAATGTCCTCCAAAACACACGCTGACGTCACTAACTATATTTAGCGACGTTTTGGAAAAACGCCGTCATATCTTTTTCTAAAAATATGACCGTTAATTTGTAGGGTTTAAGAGGCGTTTGTAGAAATGCCGTCATATCCCTTTTTTTTTTTTTGAAATTGTGCTAATTTTATTTCTTTAGAGTCGGCTTATTCAGTATCCTAAATAGCAATCGAAGACTGAAGTCGGCATGCATAATTGATATGAAATGACATTAAACATATATGCTAACTTTAAAAACAAGAAAAAAAATTCTTCAGCTGCAAACTCCCGTCAACTGACATTCATGAGATCATTAGTTACTAGAGCTAGCAATTTGTTCTTGCAATCAGAAACAATATTAACAAAATTAAATCAGAGAATTAAATTATAATATCAAATACACAGAGTAGAGATAAACTATTTCAAAACCTTAATAATTGATATATAAAAAAAAATGGTTCATGACTGAGTGAAATTAACTAAATTGCAGGAATATTATTAGTGTCCACCATAGACACTAAACATTCAGAAGGATCCATACAATATAGCAAGTGATAATCACTTGATTGCACAAGTGTCAGGAAATCATACAAAGATCTTCAGAATAAATTACCCTTTCACTATCTTCAAAACACGATCCTTATTAGAGAAGGTTCCCCTTCGAGCTGACCATGGCACCTCAGCCTTAATTAGAGCAGGAGCAGGTCCTACCTGGTTCATTGACAAAGCATGGCTGGATATTAACTCTAAACAGGAACTATTTACAGACAGACAAAAATTTACATAGTAAACGGATAACTTCTTAACAACACACGGCCACACTAAGTAAAAAGGCAGTGGCAAATGTCAGCACAGTTTGCATATACAGCTTAGATCATGCAATATGTTTATACTTTCATTTTTAAGGAACTGTGAAAATTCACTAGGCTAGTCTACAGAACACAACTATCTCTCCGTGTAATAGATTTATAATAGAGAAGCTCATCCCTTTTCTCATTCCTAGTCATTCTACATTTTCTACCCACCTTTCAGAGGTGTCATATACAATGAGGTTGCATTTTCTTAACAACAGAAGGATGCCACTTCTCATACTACAGCCCCATAAGAAAACAACACTACGAAGAAAAAAAAAACATGATATAGATGAAGTGCGCTAGTGTCCCCCTTCTCTCCTTCCATTTTCTTCCCAAATCATGCTACATTCTTGTATAAGATGAAGGAACAAAACAGTAAAAGAAAAACCAGTATAAAAACCTTAAGCCATGATTAACCCCGTGAGCATCCCTCAGACCGTCTACACAAAATTGATTGATCAACTGACAAAGGACAACCAGTTCTCAGATGCAAACAATGGGACAACCATACAGCAATCCCAATCAGAACTTAAAAGTTAAACTTCTAGCGCGTTTGGATAACATAATTTCCAAAACTTATGGAAAACTGCTAAAGTCGATAATCTGAGAAAAAAAAGGATGCCATTTATTCCTCCCAAGATTCTAAGGCAGTAGCACTATCTAGGAGCAATTATTATCAATAAAGGAAGTTCTTCATCGATAGTGTTTAACACTAAACTTACTAATAAGCTCATATAAAGATATAGATGGATTGTTGATTGAGCCCTTATGGGAGTCAACACTTAAACAATGATTAGATTTAAACACAAACTTTTTTTTTGATCGGCAATGAAGAATTTTATTGACTAGCAAAAACAAACTACAAAGAGAGGACAAGGAATTGCTCCAAAAACCAACAGCCATTACATCAAAACAAAAACACCATTTAGATTCAAAACACATTTATGTTGAAAATCTAAAGACTAGCAACCCTTAAGTAGGCATGTGTGTAATCTCAAGGAATCATAACGAGTACACACTTCTACACTACCAAGCATTACACACTTCTACACTGTCAATTCTCTAATGATGCCTCTTACTTTGTTGGAAAAATCTCATGTAAGTGATTCTATGACTGACTTTGATAAAGTCAATTTTGATTGAGAACATTTAATCTTATCTTAGCCATAAAACCAATTTTTAGATATTCAAGTGCAATAACTTGCTAGTGTTGTTTTAAAGGGTTAATTATCTTTTTGGTCCCAGTATTTAAGTAGTACTGTATTGGTTGAGGAAGTGGTGATCTTAAGAAAGCTATTCATAAAGGTAGTCTCCTTCTCGATCAATGCACTGTGCACAATTTAATTTATTTGTCCCTCAATAAAAGTGGCATGTGCATGATTGAGTGTTTAGTCTACTATTTGTATTGAGAAGTCAGAAGGAGGGCATGAAATAAGAAGTTGAGTTTGAAACTCAAGAAAACCAGTACGATTTCTAAATTTACATAAGTAATAAATTCATCTTTTGGTCATTTAAACTTCACTAATCTAATTTCATTTGATAGAGAACATGAGAAAGAAAAAAAAATAAGTTTGCCCTTACCAGCACCCCACCCAGTCTTGATGCCAATGGTTTCTTGATAATTCCCAATGAACTGCAAGAAATGCACTTAAGTGAGCAAAATACCATATACAGCTCAATATAATTACAGCTATGTTGTTGAGAAATTAAACCATATATTGTTTATAATGTAGGACTTTGGCAAGCTAAGAGACCAAGACACATAAGCAGCTAATAATGCAAAGACAAACAACGAAGTATGTAATATGAAAAATCACTAACCTAACAAATTATAGTAATTAACAACTATTAGATGCATGTATTACTTGCTAGCATGAAATGTATTCAAGTGCATAATAAAATCTGAGAGGCTTTTAAATAATTTCTTACAAAAGGCCGAAGAAAATGAACTAAAGAAACAATGGATCCTGAAAATAGTAGGGAGCAGCTAAAACAATTAGATGAGAGTAAGAATAAAGCAAATAGTCTAAAGGAAAAATTAAATACAAGGATCTCATGAACTTACATAATCATGAAAAGCTTGAACAAATTCATCCAACATAAATGGCCAAAGCCCCAGAACGTCAGCAAAATTTATTAAAAATCTCCAGACCTAAAAATCAATTCACAAGTAATAACATTAGAATCATCACAATACCTCCATAAGCATCACCATTATATCTAGTCCATATGTTTCTTGAAAAATTGTAGTGTCATTTGGACAATTTACCCATTTGCAGACAATAAAATGCCCATGACAGATACAACAAGCGAGCTGTCAGGCAAGAAAACAGAAAAATAAATAAATAAATAAATAAAATAAATATGGACAATTTACCCA